TATGTGCACCACACACACATGCATAATTAAAAATAACTTGTTAAAAACATTTAAAATACCATCCACCCAAGAATGCAATATAGCATTTCCTTTCCTTTATTAGCAATGATTAAAAAAAAAAAAAACTAGTCATCATGAACCGCCCAAGTATCAGGACAGAGGCATTGGTGAAAGGGCCTCCTTCACACAATGGTGAGGGTGCAGAAATGCAAAACTTTCCAGAAGGCTCAGCTGTAAAGTGACAATTTCAACAGACAGTTAAATATAGTTAGTTTCATCTACCAATTCTTCTATGAATTTATCCCAAGGAGATAATTAGACAAATGTGTCAAGGTTCACACAGAAAACATGCTGCTATGGCATTATTAATGATACCAAGTATTTAGAAGTATCTAAATATCATCAAATGGAGATTATTTAAAGAGATCAAGATACACTACACAACAGAGTCCTGCCCCTAGTTAGAAGGATAGCAGGAATCTGAGGCATAATGTTACTCTTTCTTCAGGTCCTTCATTGAAGGGAAGGCTTCTTGTCCCTCATTCTACCCACACAAACAGCATGCATACACACTGCACCATGAGACACAAAGAATAGACCCATCCAAGTTGGTGGTACATAAAGCTCTGGGTGCTGAGGTATCCAGTGATTTTTTTCTTTCTTTATAAAATAACCTTTGTTGTTTGAATTTTTATAATGAGTGCCTGGTATCTTTACAAATAGAAAATCAACTCTATTTAAAGGTCAAATGAAAATTTCTAAAAGGGATATAGCTTTCCCAGAGAAAGGGCAGTGCTGAAATTGGAACAATAGCTGGTTTTAGAGGAGAATATAGAGGGAGTTTGAAACCTGCTGCAGGTTTTGTGTGGAGTGATTCAAATCCTATAGAAGCTTGCAAGACCCAGCCCTTATGAGCCTGAGCTCCAGAGTCAGTCCTTAAGGTGAAAGGCCAGCTCTGTCATTTTCCAGGTAATCAAAACTTGGGACAAATTACTTACCCTTCTGTTTCTCAGTGTCCACATCTATAAAACAAGAAAGTGATATCACCTGCCTCTAAGAGTGTCACGAGGACACAGAGTAAATGAAAAACACCCATCACAATGCCTGGCGAGTAACCAATGCTCACTAGACACTAGCACTCACAAAAACCAGCTCCATCTTCCTGAGCTCACATTCTAGGAGTAACAGTGCTAATGAACAGTAAGTGATAATTAGACAATGAAATCCATAGAAACAGGCATTGGGAGGTCTAGGCTATGAAGTTCAAGGTGAAGGGTACTAGATGCATGAGGTTCAGGCATGTGACAGTCTCATCAATCTCAGGTGCTCACTTTGCAAGATAAGAATCATGTACAGAAAGGTCATGTTGAGGATTTAGTGCCAAATACCCACACAGCATTTAGTCACAGTGAGTTGCCAATATGTATTTGTCACTAAAAATATACAATAATTATTTGACTATGAAACAAGGAGCAAGCTTCCTGCCCTCAGAGGTATCTAGGTAGGCTAAGCAACCACTTATGGAAGGACATAAAGACTTATTCACAAAAAGACCATACTTCTAGATTCAACTAGACCTAAAAAGCCTATGAAAGTCATATTACTTTAAAGTTGTTGATTGGTATGATATGCAGGGTGCTGGGGTCATCACCTTAGGGAGTCACATGACAATTCCATGGTCAGAGACTAGCCTGATTTTCAGGCCAGTGAGTCGGGGGTGATGATTCTTGCAAACTGCTCATTTTTTCTTAAACACTACTGCTCTGGGAAGGCTGAAGAGGGTGGTTTACCCAGCAGTGGATTACAGAGCCCATGGATATGGCTGGCTGCAAGCTACATTCTTTCTCCCCACAAACACACAAAACTACAGGGTCTCTGGGACCCACAAGGAGACAGGGCTTCAGGCAGACACTACCAGAACAGGAAGCACATGCTGGTCACTTCCTGCCTGCTAGGCTGTGCTCTTAGCTCCTTATTAACATTATCTCATTTACTTCTCATGAGACTGAGTCACTGCCAGGTATCATCCCATTTTACAGATAACAGTTTAAAAAAAGTAAAGTCCTTCAGTGAATAAGAAATGGGGTTTAAGGTACACTTAGAATGTGAAGCTTTATGACAACATCTCAGAAGGACTTTAATCCCTTTTAGGACCAGGTGCACACATGCACCCAGGATTGGGGGGTCAAGTGAATCCTCTCAAGGCAGTAGGAGTGAGGAAAGCCAATAAGGTCAGGGGATTATCTAGAACCTTAGAGAAAGTAGAAGACCAAGAGAAAAAGTATAGGCTGCATTCTACCTGTTACATAGGAACCTGCAAACAACAGAAATTGAGTATATTGTCAAGAGTTCCTGCTTCAGGAGCAAAGGGCTATTTGTAGAGAAGCCAAGAGTTTGAGTCTGCTCAGCAAGATGGAGCACCACACAGATTACTCTAAGATACCCAAGTGCTGGGAAGGGGACATATTTGTCGCTTTCTTTTAAGATCTCTTGGTTAACCCAGGCAGGCTATGAATTCACATCAGCCACACCTCTCTGTCCTGCTTTGTTATGGCAAGGCTTGGTTAGGACAGTCCCCTATCTCTCTTATATTTTGAGTGATTTTTCCAGCCACTGCCAGCATCTGTCCACCCATCTACCAGGCAGTTCCCATGGGGACAGAGCTGAAGCTTCCTGACATGAAATTTCAGATATTCAGATTCAACTTGTATCTCCTTGATCTTGGAGAGCCTTGAACTTTCTCATCAATCAGGATGATACCCCACCCTTCTGTTGTAAGGGTTAAAAAAGATCACTGTATACTGGAAAGACAGGGGGGCAGTATTAGAGAGCCAAAGTCTGGAGCTTCACCCTTTAGGGTCAGAGCCTGGCTCTCTCACTAGCTGTTTATCTTCAGACATGTTATTTAACCTTTCTGAGCCTCAGAGTCATCAGTTGTAAAAATGGGTGGAATAGCACCCATCTATGTAGGAGTTTCTCGTTGAGTGAACGAGTTGAGAATTTTAGAGTGCTTGCCACTGCGCCTGTCACATTAGTGGTTACTCAGTAAATGTGAGTTGTTATGATTAATGTGTGGAAAGCCCTCAGCATGGTAAAAAATGAGTATCCAATAAATGGTGGCTGTTATTCTTACAAGGGACATGCTCCTTGGAGAATTTTGTGTGCATTTATCTCTTCGAAAGCAATAAAAATGAAGACGTTCAAGAAGAAGCTTGTCCTTAGGTAAATGTCAGTCACAGCTGGGAGAAGCCACGGTTTTCTTGTCCCTGCAGAGTCCCCAGGACCTCAACCTGCCCTGCCTATGCCCAGGCTCTCTTCTGCTTCCTTTAGAACTGTCCTTCACTCAGCCACCCCCTCATGGGCACTAAGCACCTGCAGGGAGCCCAAAGGAGGGCTGGAAACCCAAGCCCAGAATGCAAAAGCTCCTGCTTCATCCTCTAGAGTTACTGGCTAGTGGGCAATACACACCAAGAAAGTGTGCACAATGGTTATTTAATTACAGCTGGGTTTGAGCCCTAAAGGATGTGATGGTAGGGAATCCCTGTGATACCATTATGGCCATCTCCACTTCCCCTCCCACCCACCTCCCTGGCAAGCTATCCATATGATATTAAAATTCTGTTTTAATTTCAAGAAGGCTGTGCAAATGGAATCATGGAAAGCAATCTTTTGAGACAGTCTTGTTTTTTTCCTGCTCCACCTGAGTGATGTATGCCAATATTTTCTTTTTTATTGCTGAGTCAATTTCATGTGTTGGATGTAGCATAGACATCTAAGATGGTGTGGTCTGGTGTTAGGGCTATGGCTAAGGAGGAAGTCATTGTAAAGGCTCCTTAAAGAAATGATATTTAAGGTAGTTATTTGTAGATGAAGAACAGTTGGCTGGGTAGTGACTGTAGGGAGAGGAAGTGATCGTGGTAGGCAGGCATTTGGTTTTAAGGCCCTACACCCAAAGGACACCTCACTCACTAAGGGCCTAAGAGAAGGCAGATGGTGGGTTGAATCCTAGACACTCTCACTCAAAGGAAACTCAGCTAGGAGATTAGAACTTGGTGACTATGGTTTCTCTCTTTCCAGGCTCTTCTTGATTAATTATAAATACCGTCTGGTCTCCAATACCAGCCCCACAGATGCAGTGACCATGGTTCGCAGTTGAATACCTCCAAAAAAAAAAAAAAAAGGCTGCAGAAGTGGTTCACTGCCCACAGATGAAATTCAGCCAAGACTCCACAACAGAGCCCAGCCCTCTGAGTCTTCCCGATGCCTCGACTCTGTCCTAGGCAGACCCTTCTGGGTTTTATAAAGCTATTTAAGAAGTTAAGTTTCTCTCACTGAAACACAGGGAAGCAACATGGAAGAAAATAATGGCCCCAGTGGAGAAATTTCTGATTGACATAAGTGGGGAAATTCCCTTAGGAACATCATGTACCATCTAAGCAGCAAAGCTCCAGGTCATCTCTTACTCAGTTTATTTACGTGCTATGGCAAGAAGATGTGTTTAAGGCTCTCATAGCCTTGCACTGCAATCAAATGCTTTGGGAAAAGCAGCCATATGGTCCAGACGTAGCAGGTTCATTTCAGAATTCACACATTCCAAGTGTGGCACTATCCCCTAAATGGTACTTTTGTTGTCTTTTTGTTCAAGACAGTGAGATTCTTCTAGGATCAGAACTGTTTCTTGGAATCCACTGATAGACAAGCCCATCAGTTCTCTTTGTAGGTCAGACGTTTCATAATTAGCCGAACTCAACTGATTATCTACTCGGTGATTATGACTACAGTGACATAATATTTCAACTGTAGAGGAAGCATTCCAGACAGCTCCTAAGTAGCACAGTCAGGCTGGGGATGGCCGGCAGGGCTTCCTGCATTAAGAAGAGCGGATCACTCCATCCTTCTTGGCCATTCTCCTTGTCTCCATCATTAGAAACTGCATTAAAGACCTAAGGGAGATGTGCCCAGGACAAGTGTGTTGTTCTTCTCCCTCTTACTGAGACTCGATGGCCCAGCAAAGTATGAAAGTGAGGCCTGTGCTCCTGAAGCGAAGCAGTCTTGAGTCTGTGGAGCTTGTGAAACAACCACACCACCGCAGGAGCAAATCACAGCAAGTGCGATTCAAGGAAGATGGGAACACTAAGAGTCCAACTGGAGTGACTGAGGTTGATACCCAAACTCCTGAGGACCCGAGTCTAATGGGGAAGACACAAGCATCCCAACACCATCACCCTACCACCTACTCGCTGTCTTTCCCTAGGTCCCACAAGGCAGGAGGCTTTCGCAGCATCTCTATCCAGACCTCCCCCAGTCTCAGGAAGCATTTCCCAGTTTTTAAAAGGAAGAAACTCACAAAAAGCAAGTCCCTGGTAGAAATGCCAACCGCATCCCCAAGTGCCATCCAGGTCAATGGCAACCTCTCTGAACAGGATGTTGTGTCATCTGACCTTGCCTTCCTGAGGCTGGCTCAGCATCTTGAGGATGGGCCTCGAAGACTCAAAATGCCCCACCCATTTCTCCCTAGGATGTCCAAGGTACAAAGCAATGGGCCTGTTAGCTTCTGCTTGGAATCTGGAACTTGGAGGTCCTCAGAGAAAGCAACAGCTGCCATTCAGGTTCCGGACGATATTTGTCATAGTCCAACCTGGGAAACTAGAGAGCCGACTTTCAGCACAGAAAGCTCAGCAAAAGAAAGCAACTCCATACCCACTTTGGTCACCATGTGTCCAGGGGATGGGCAAAGAGTGCCGATATCAGATCCAGAAAGATTCCCCTCCTGCTTAAACGCCAACGGCAGTGCCAACAACACCCCAGGCGCAGGAAAACTCACACCTGAATTGCTTTTGCCTAAAGATAATCCTGAAAACAAAGACATTGGCCTTCTGTCATCTCAGTCAAAGAAGATGTGTGTTCCCTCACCATCACGGACTCACAGCTCCTCTGAGACAGGCTCCCATAGCCAGCTAGCCCACTTGGGAAGAGTCTCTGATTGCCCAGCATCCAGTGACAATCACCAGGACCTGGAATCACTCAAAAGTAGCAGTGCATCCAAGTCTACCCCTGTATGTTGGGAGCATGTGGCAAAGCTTCCCAGCCAGTCAGACATCCCAGATCTTCAGACTGGCCTGGGAAGTGAGCACCTCCCTTCCTCCCTTCCAAGGCATGAGTACAAGCCTCAGAGCAGCAGGGAGCTCAGTGGGAGTAATCACAGTCACCTGGCACAGGGCGAACTATGTGACCTCCAAGGCCGGCTGCAATCAGTGGAGGAATCGCTGCATTCAAACCAAGAGAAAATTAAAGTCCTATTGAATGTGATTCAAGATCTGGAGAAAGCTCGTGCTCTCACTGAAGGGTAAGGTGAACCTCTTTATATTAAAAACCTCCGAGTGAAGTCATTTGCTGAGAGGGGCAGAGTGAGAGCACAGGTCACTGCAAAAAGCATCATCCAAATGTTGTTTGCCCAGATGATAACTAATGCCCTTCTTCTGCTCTGCCTGGGTTTTGATAATCCTCTGTTTGGCAGCTCTGGATAGATGCCCTTTCAGGATTTAGCTGGTTGGGGAAAGGGACTAATGAAGTCTAGGATCAAAAAACAAAAAGGCTTATAGAGATGAGGGTCTAGTAAACGGTGGCGGTGGTGGAGAATAACAGCAAGCAATGTCTTCCTGTCCTCTGAGTGAGTTAACAAATTTGCATTGCTTTAGTTTCACATGTGTTTGTCCCAAAAGTCTTAAGGGAACCCCTAAGCTGGGCTTCCTCTCTACTGACTACTTTGATGACTTGGTCTAGGCTGACACTGACAACTCAGTTAGTGAAAAGGAGGCCAAAATTCTGATAGAAGAAAGTCAGAGCATACTGTCCAAGTGATGGACTCAGCAGTGGTGTGGAGGACATCATGCCATATTTGTTGAGGCACAGAGTGATCACCCCTCTAGAAAGGCTCTAAATACCAAGAGAAGGCAATGGTTGAAACTTATCTAACAAGGTTGGAAAGAGAGTAACTAGCTGGAGGTGGCTAGTAGGAATCAACCCAGACCGCTTTAGGAGACTGTGCTGACAGAGAAACACCAAAGCCCAGGGATCAGGAGTCCCCATATTCACTCACGTGAAAAATTCCTCATCTTTCAGGATCAAGATCAGGAAAACACATATTTGAAAGTGATTAAAAGCATACCAAGCATCCCAGAAATGGGAGGTTCCATTATTACAAACTCATTCATCATCATCCTTGCATCTTCATGTATCTTGGGGACATCATGAATGCTGAGCTGTGGGAACTAAGATCATAGACTGACTTGACAGAATGCATATCTCATGTGGCATTTGCCTATGCATTTATCCTCAACCTGTTCTGTCTTCTAGGCGGAACTTTTATCGGACAGGCCAAGATCTCAACAACTGCAGCACCTGTCAGAACACGGCGTGCATCATATACAGGTATCAACCCAAACTGTGACCTGCTCTGCAGAGCAGAAAGCCTCAGGTCCACAGAACACACTAGCAAAATGTCCCAGGTACAGGGAGCTGGGAGAGGCAGAGACAAGTGCCCGAGCCTTAAGATGGAAGGTGTTTGTGCAATTCTTTATCTGGTACCAAAGCAGGGACTGTTTTATTTCTTACCCACAAGGTCTAGGAGCAATCCTCTGATGCAATAGGTAACCAGGAGAGCAGGTACCCATCCACCTCTGCATACACATCTGCATCTCATTTCAATTCATTGTCAGAAGATGGGGAGAGGAATTCAGAAAGTTTAGAGGTTTGCCCAACTCAAACAGAACATCTTCAGAGCAGAAGGGGCCATGATTGGGACTCATACCCAATAGTAACTCTAATCCTAGTTACCCTATCGCACTGCCTCTTCTCTAAACTCAATCTATACCACGTCTTCAACTACTATCAGTAAATACACTATTTCTTCCTAGTGCAAGACAAAGCTTCAGCAAAAACAATTATGAGACCTGTATTTGAATTCCCAAATCTGACACCAACCCTTTTGTCTGGGACTCAGTTTCCTTGAATGGAGAGTAGGCATAGTGACTTCTATTCAGACTTGCCAGGAAAGCAACTGACACAATGTCTGTGAATGTACTTGGAGACTGCAGACATCTGCACACACCTGAAGGTGCATTGTTGTTATTTCTGGAAAGATCAGTAATCTCCTTGCCCAGAGGCCCACTTGGCAGCACCCTGGAAATACAGCCAGAGCACTCATTTTAGTTGATGACATCTAATTTTGTTGGACAAAAGAGGATGGTTTTGTTTTCTGCATGGGATTTCTCTTTGGAAAGAGACAGCAAAGGCCTGAACAAACCACTGCTCCACCAGGCTGCCCATTTTCTCTCAGAGCATTTCCTTCTCTCCTCTCTGTAGTGGCCTGAGATCTCATGCTAAGAAACCTGGACACCAACCAGTGCTTCCACGTAGGCAGGACCCTGAGCATCTTCTCATTGGCTTGTTAGCTCCCTACATGGAAGATCACATGTCTACACCAGATAACAGGAGACTCCAGACTACTTACAAAGTCCTCACAAAGCGAAAAGCAGGCCTTCTTCACATCTCAAATCAATAGCCTCTCCAGAAGGGAGGATTCTAGAGAAAGGCCTGTAGAACTGGAAAGTGAAGCAGGAAGTCTCATCAGTTGCTGTTCTTTATTTTTAATCTTTCATCTTAAGCAAATTTCCTAATCACCAAAAGTACAAAATTATTACATGTCTAGACAGCAAAGCAGGATAAAAAAAAACTGTTCATCAGAAACAGGAAGAATTGATTTAGACTAACTTCAACTTACATTTAGGACAGAATTCCTTCAAGCACCCAGGTGATGCATTTTCTGTTAATTTCAGTGATTTTCTTTTTTAATATGACCAATATTAGTAAAAGAAGCATGTGATTATTTCCCAGTCTAAAGCCAATTTCATGACCTTCTCCTAAACAAGTCATGCCTGGCTTCTGGGTTTCCTCACTGGAGAAATGAGAGGCTTTAATGATCCCAGTGGTGCCTTGTAGTTCTGACATTTTGTTATTCTAAACTGAATTAACAGTGACAATATTTGGCAAAATTGTGACTTTCCAGGGTCTGAGAATGTTTGTGTTTCCTTAACACTTGCTTCAAAGACCCCAAGCAAGCATTCTAAGGGGAGTTACATCCCAGCTGGCATCGCACACTTTCATGCTCTCTTCCCATTCTTCCCCAGCATGCATTGTTTGTATCTGTCCTACAAAACATCCAGCCCTTGTTGCCATTCAAAGCCCGACAGTATCTGTATCCTTGCTTCTAAATCACTGCAAAGGAATGGGCAATTAATTTGATGAAAGCCAAAAAGATCAGAACATCATCCCTGTCATGGCAACAGTGAGATGAGAGTTGTCATTTAAGAAAAAAAAATTCAAATGACTTCAAACTTGTGTTGTGTCCTGGAAAGTCAAACCTTAGAAGCTAATGAGCAAGTGATGTGAAATACTCTTCCGCAGGCTGTGGTCTCTCTCCTTGATGACGGATGGGTCCAGTGCCTGTCACTGTACATAAAGCACATGGTACATGATGGATTGCCTACTAGCTTTTCTTCCCCAGAGAGGCTGCTAAGTTAGCAACACATAAGGTTTGCTAAGTGGTGTTGCCCACAGGCCTCACCTCATCAGCCATGGGCCATGGCTATGCTTTCTGCTCCTGTCAAGATGTTGAGGTCACTGGTTCTAAGCATCTCATTCTCATTGACCCCCAAGCCTCCTTGGCTCCCTCCTCTTGCCAGGAATATCTTGATAAACCATCAAGGAGTACATCATCACTATTGATGCCTAAAGACTGGGTAGGGCTCTCTGGGGCTTCCAGAGGTTCAATGTGCCAAGGAGAATGACTTCAAGGTCATTTTTCTTTTGGTGGGGGGTTGTCTTGTTTTGTTTTTTCGATGGGTGGGGTGGGGTCTTGTTTTGCAGTACTGAAGAGTAGATATAGGGCTTTACAGTACTAGGCAAGCACAGGACCACTGAGCTTTGTCCCCAGCACTATGTGTATTTTCTAACTAAACTCCCAGGGGAGGGGTGGGAGTTGGCTTTATCCTATCTTAAGCTGCTTCTAGCCTCTTCAGTCTCCATTTGCTCTTGTTAGCTTTAATCCCAGGTCAATTTACCCAAGGGGGTTCCATGAATACCACTGGTGGTTCCCAAGATTAAATAACAGGGAATTACTTAGTGAGAAACTTGTTCTCTTTTCAATTTTATTTCAATTCTTCTGATTACCTAGAAGGAAAAATCTGTGCTCCTTGCCACAGCATCTTTCAGCCCTTCCTAGTGCTTGCTTATCACATTTCTTTGCAAAGAGGTAACAGATCTCAGGTTCATAGCCATGGGCAAGCAACAGTATCTAGCCAGGTTGTAGTAATTTTAAGCATTTTTTGTTGAAGCTTTTAACTTGTAAAAGTAATCCTCTTAAATATTCATGAGGAATGATACAGGTCTCCATTTCTAAAATTATCTTGTTTGTTTTATATACTTGTTTAAATTTAAAAAGTAGACTAATTTTGAACAGAAAATCTTAAGTAAAAAATTGTGAAGTGGGTGTAGGAGAATCTCACAAAAACAACAAGGATATTATGGTACAGTAGGACATGCCTGTAATCCCAGCATTTGTTAGACAGAGGAAGGGTTAGACAGAGGCAGGGGCATTGCTGCTGGATCATTCCCATTTTGTGTGTGTGTGTGTGTGTGTGTGTAACCACAAAAGAGGAAAATCTCTGATTGACGTCTAGCAAACAATTCAGCCCCCTTTTCTTCTCAACAGCAGGTCATCTCTAGGAACAGCATCCGTTTCCTCATGTTGTCCCCTGATCCTCCAGCCACATCTGCCTGAATTTCATCATCACACTCACTCTAAAAAGAGTCAGCAGAGCCTCTTTGGAGGACTTTGGTTATATGGTTTATGTACTTATTTTTCTGGATCTAGCTCTCAGGGGAAAAAAAATCTACTTGATTTAAGTTGTAAAATGCCTCCAACATTTTCGGGGAAAATAGTAAGATTTAGTAAGATTTACCCCCCCCCCCGCAGGGGGTGGCCCCCATCTCCCATGCATGCATATTCCATAGGAACTGGGAATAATCTGTGAGCTTGTGGGTCAATAGAAATGCTGGCCATGTAATGTTTAAAGGGCATTAGAGTGGTGAACAGGGAAATGGGTGGCTGTCTATTCAATGTCTAATTCCAGCCTCTTCCCATTCCTTCAGTGGCAATCATGGACTTTAAGTCACACTTTTCCTTACCTATTTTTTGAAAAATGTAGGTCTATGTATGTTTTACACACACACACACACACACACACACACACACACACACACACACACATATATATATATATATAT